CCCGCCCGCCCGCCCGCCTGTCTGTCTGCCTCCACCATCTATTTGCTTTCGCTCTCTCCCTCGTTCTCTGTTTTCCCCGTATGTACAGATGACGACAGTGTCTGACTGCCCGACTGACTGCCTCCTTCGACTTGTTACGTGAGTATTAGCAGCAGCAGGAACACCAGCAACTGCATTATCCACAGCATCAACAACGGCGGCAGCAGCAGCAGCAGCAGCAGTTTATGGCCATTTCCAGTGTGGTGGGTGGTAGCTAAGGCAAATCTATCAGTGGAGTTGTACTGGGGTTGGTGCAGTAATGAGGTGAGATTGTTGTGCTCGTTCGACCTCATGTTCATAGTGCTGGCCATGGTGGCAGTGTGGCTCTTACCCGTTCATGGTCTTGTGCTAGAGGTGTCTCCTTATTAATAACAACAGCAATCACGCAGCAGCAGCAGCAGCAGTAACAATATCGCCGCCGCCGCCGCCGCCGTCGTCGCCGCTTCTTCTTCCATTTTGCTAACGCTGTTGCTACGTCTATGATCATCGCTCAGTCCACTGCTGTTGCTTACTTTTAATACTGCTACGACTGTTGCTGCTGCTACATGTGCAGGTGGTAGTGAGTGATGCAGTGTTGTGCTGTGCCGCGTTCGGTGGTCGCTCATTTTTTCGCTCGAAATGCGTGTCCGTGTCGTCCGACCAACGTAGTTACTTCGACGTAGAAGATAGATCGTTTTGCAGTGAGTGTTTACCTCTCTACCTGATTGGTGTCGTGCTTGCTCTTTCTAGTAGCCTCATTATTATTATTGTTATTATTATTTCTACGAAGTATAGTAATAGCTGCGGTAACCGTGTTGGTGATATTCTGTTTAACGTCACCGTCGTCTTTGTTCTCTTCTTGCTCTCCGTCATCGTCGTCGCAGTCGTCATCGACATCGTCATGGATATTTTAGGCACTAGCATTGTCTGTTGTACGTGATGATTATCATCGTGGAAGTATAATGGACATCAGTCTTTTGTTGTTGTTGTTGTGATGTGCGTTCGACTCTGATACGGTGGCGACTGTGCGTTGTCGTTCCACCTTTCGACAGAAGAAGGTGGAAAGGATGGGGTGGGGGTCGTGGTGCTACGATTTCTGAGTGAGCAGCAGCAGCAGCAAATGATAGAAAAACAAATCTTGGAATGTGCGCACTGTGGTTAGACAGCGTTATGATTGTTGCCGACGATTAAACTAGTAGTATATTTGTGCGATAGAAAAGCAAACAACAGTTCCCACGCGAAAGCTACCAGCAGAGAACAGCGCCAGGGAAGTAGAAACGGCGTAAACAGAATGACGAGTAACGAAACCAGACGATCAGGCTCTACTGCCAGCTGATCAGCTCCGCCCTACCGTCTGTGACTCGCTCGCTGGCTACAACCAGTACCAGTAAAGCTTATGTCTATGCGTGTTCTCGTACCGCCTATTGGGGAGTGCCTATTCTGGGGGGTGATGCCTGACGAGGGCGCTATCGATGTGGAAGGGAGCAGCACGACCTCAACAGTACAAACGGCAGCTGCCGTTTCAGCAGGTGGTACCTGTTATGCACTCATCATCGTTTATTTGCAGGACCTGTTTATTGCCTCAATTCGTTGTGAGGCATCGTGGCAAGTAGTTCAATGCCCTTTTAGGCAACAATCACAATTTTAATCAAAAAGTGTGTTCGAGCTTGATGCGTCGTCTACACGGAGACCGAAAGATTCGAAATTGGGGTGTTTCTAGTCGAGATAGTTGTTGTTTTATTGCGAATGTTTGCTGTTCACTACGGAACCGATAACTCTGGCACAGGTTTTGCCAGTATACGAAATGGAGATTTTTGTCGTATCCACTTTTCGGTGCGCGGACTGTTCGCATAAATATAGTACGTGAGTCGTAGCACACTTCATTGGTATTGCGCTCGTCATCGGTCGAATGATGAAATTTAAAGACCACGTTATGGCATAAAATCACGGTGGATGTCCAATAATAGTTACCTAACATCTCAGATAGACAGTATTTATCGCGGCCGTGCTGAGCACCGGCAGTAACGGGGGTTGTTGGATTACATAGGGAAAGACTACTACGACTATAACTGCAGTTAATTGTGCTTATAGCGCTCTGTGTTACTGTCGGATAGATAGCACGGAGACGACGTCGGTCAACACAAGCAGATTTGATTAGATTAGATAAGTCGAGACAGGATAGATGCGTTGTTACTGTGGTTAGCAGTACCAACCTAATATTAGATTGGACCTTTCAGTCGGATACGGTTGATTATGCGCTGATACGTTCGGGACGTATTATTAGTTCAAGTTCAGAAACTGCTTTTCGACTGTATTCCTAGTTACTGACATGCCGATTGTTCCACTCAAACTTCATCACCGTTGTTGATAAATACCGACAATGAGTATTTGAGGAACACACACACACTGCTTCTTTTATAAAAGCAGTCTAGGGCACTTATTAGTTTTCCATGGAACGCCCAACGACCTACTGCGTGCCTATGACCACCTCCCCTTGCACTATTCCAGCATTTTAACCTATTGCTTTATTATGTTGTATAATAGTTTCTTTAATTAGGCGTGGTCGCTGCCGCATCCTCTGTATGGGCGATGACGATTGTACTTCGTGGCTATCACTGTACGAGCGCTAAAAAGGTTATTTCTTACAAAAGTAATATTATTTCTTTTTATGTCGCTTTAGTATCAGCCACCTCCTGGATACGATGCCGGACCATAAACAGATTTTGGCTGATTTCATTTACTAGATTCGTTTAGTGTACTAGAACGTATAACGAGAATCACCGGTTGTGCATTAGCGTGTCAAAATTTGAAGCCACATCTGGCATACGGGCTGATCGTGAACGGGTTAAATGGCGTCGTTTCATCCATGCGTAGAATTTAGCACCTGAACTGAACTCGCTACTAACTGCTGTAGTCGTCAGGTCCATGCGCAGTACGTAGTGATGTCTGTCCATAGAACATATATTTCCTCCTTGTACTGATCAGAGGTGAACTGATTAGCTCAGGACTACGGGCTGGCTAGGCTAAAGCCAGTCAAATGTTTAGCTGGTACTGCCGGTAGTAAAGTAGTTTGCAGCGATAGTGGCAGAATCATTGTTACGTTATCCTAAACGTTTGGGTGCAGAGCCGCTGCTGGCAAGAAGGTATATAAATAGTCAAACTGACTGGAACGTCGAAAAAAGGATAACAAGCGGTACATGGATGAGAGTTAGTTTAAGACGTTAGTAGAGGCAACACGGCATAATAGAGATAAGCTGAACTATGCGAAGTTAACGAGATGGTGCTGATGATATATTTGGAACTGCTGAGCATTAAAGCTCTACGTATAAGGGTAGAGCTGGGAAGAGCGGCACATTTAACACTTTAGCGGATGATTTTTAAATGAAGTGTACGGTGTTTGTAAGGAAAGATAGTATACGCCTAAAGATATGCAATAAATACTATGGGTCTGGACTAGAAGTGGCTATCCCTCCCATTGTCCAGATCCAACAGGAAAAGGTTAATCTGGCAAATTGTATGGTGCTTCGAATGGCTGTTACAACTGTAGAGTGATAGCAATTATGTTCTTAATGTCCAATACGGTAAGTGGCACGCGAAGGTATATCCTGAATTTAAGGTCATCTCAGCACTAAGGCTAAACGAGGGTATTACAGACTAGATGGGGATTACTTCCAAACGAAATAGCAGATATTTGTGATTGGTTTACTCGCTAGGCGACGGCAAAGACTGACTTAGAACTAACTTCCACTTTTCTTCAAATGAGTATTGTGTTTATTGTGACTACGAACAGCGTAAGTTCTTTTTAGTCCAAAAATACAAAAAGGGCTCTAGCATGATAATATATACCGACTTTTATCTTGATAGACTCCAGTTTTATGCTTCCGGTTATACAATAGTTCTATGTGAAGCAAATAAGTGCGATAAATAATAAAATAGAAGAAATTACTATGGTCGTAGTCAGAATTAGGTGGTTTATACAGAACTGATCTACGCAGGTCTATATTTTTGGAAACAGATCTCAGAGCTTAGAGGATGTTCAGCAACAGCGTCTGACACATCGGTAATAAGCCACGTTTATTAACACACTAGTTGTCTTTCTAAGATCGTTTATTACTATGCAACGAAAATCTTAATATTGAATAACTGCGGTAAATGGCACATGGCTTTTCGGGACCCTTGGCGTGGTGATTTCATCTGATGACATCAACAGTTCACATTAGAAAGGGTTTTCGTCGATATGTTTTGCTGCATGCACATATATAGCTTAATTGTCGAATGCTATATGTAACGATAACTCTCTCTGTACTCATGTATACGAATCATGTATGATACAGGATAGACATTTATTTAAAAGAGATAAAGTTTCTAGTAATAACCTAGAGCAATCATCATGGCTGCACTGGTATTGATGATCTGATGGACGTCTTTCAGCAATATGACCTGGCAAGAGCCTAATTTTAGCTGGTTGTCGAATAAACATGTACTAGATAGGGGAATTGGATCTTCATACAGAGTTCGAATAGTTCAACTAATCAAATAAACTGAGCTGCATAGTGATTGATACTCATCCCACAGAGAGTTCTATCCGAGAGGGTGAAGTACATGGGTAGCTTTATGTGATCGACAATGAAGAGTTCTTGCAATAAAAACATACCACGACGCACAAAACCGTCGCTAATCATAAGCGCTGAAAGAAAGGTGTATATACGTGATAGGACTGAAAACTGGCTTATTTTCTATATGGTACGAACAAACTGTTGATTTTATTGATGATATGTAGAATCATTCCACTCAGTACCTAGATATTCCTTGTGGACTATCATCACCGGGGAATGTAATTTTTTTTTAATATATATATATATATATATATATATATATATATATAAATTTATTTAACTGTCAAGGTTGTGTCACCGAGATTGCTGTCTTGAAAAAGTAAGTGTACCTTCAAAACTCGTTCGGAGTTCATCAGTCATGCTGTCTATTTTATTTCTGGTATTATATTGGAATATTAACACTCCAATCGAAATAGGTATGAAAAATTATCTAGTAGCACAGGTGCAAATTATGCTTATTTGGGTTTATCTTTATTTACGTTCACTATTGGATTCAATACTGCGTTGTAGGGTGTAGCCGTTCCGGCTATCACGCCAGCCATTTGAACATTAACTACGACGCTGTTAGAAGCCTTCGTACGATCCCTTAAGGTGGTTGGGTTGCGATTTTGTCTGGATGGCTAGAAACTTATTTTGGAAAGATCTGCGCAGACGATAAAACCGTTGGGCTAAGTATCTTTCCCCTAAGAGGAAAAAGTTTGTTTTATCTGATAGGGCCTAGTGTTAGTTCGGTTAATTGACGGTAGCAATTTATCATATATCAATACAATATATCATCGTGAAAATTATGCTACGTGACAGAATGTGTTCAAACTCTATTGTGAAAAAGGCTATTAGGTTAAGGCTAGCCGCTGTTCGACGTATTCTCTATCATATACATATATATAGAATTCGTCTTACCTCTAAGCAAGTGAAATAAAACGTGTTTAATAGCAAAATAAGTGTAAAACGAAGCTTACTGGTGGCGGTCTACTATATACCTAAGTAGATCCTAAAGCTAAGTAGATTGAAATAAGTCCTTATGATACTGCAATGCCAGATGAATGTGTGCGTAAGCACCTGCAATGATTACTAGAATGTTTATAGTGCCAGCTGTGCAAACAATAATATAGACCTAAAGCTTTGCTTTGACGTAAGCCAGCCTTCACAGTAGAATGGCACGAGAAAGTGTGGAAAAATTATTGATCACATTCGAAATAACAGAACTCGGCATACTGCATACGCTAAATACGTGCACCGAACTTTAACAGGTACCGCTTTTGCTAAATATCACGAAATTAATATCAGTATAACTCTGTTTCTGATTGCTACTATTTATCACTCTTTTGGCTATACCATATAGTTTATTGCATATAAAGGCGCGACTTTATAGAGAAAAAGAAGGGCATCATAAACTGCGGTCGTCACACACAAGCACAGACAATTGCCTTCAGTGAACAAGCTGCTCCTTTTACGTGTGCACTTCGCTAAGTTGTCGTGTGGATCTAGCTAAATAGCTGAATCCTCCTATACGAGGTGTGGCGGTGTGTCTGTTATTTGAGAGAACGAGTGTATGATGACTCATAATAGCGGCCGCAAAAATGACATACAAACGGTCAGCCCCACCGACTGACCAATGAATCTTACGCTGTATGGTAAAGCTAGCTGCAGCAATTATCGATGATTTTATCACTACCGCAGTCACGGTGTCTGACCGAGTGCAGAATGTCAATATATATATAGATGTCATGCGACACGTTCTTACCCGTTGTTTGTCTGCTTGGATGGATTGCTTCTACAACGACTCTTATATATCTTAATAATAGCAGCTGATTCCTCCTCCGTTAGACATGTATACTTCTGGTCGATTGTCAGCCTGTTGGTCACAACAAACAAAACAGGCGCTCTCTTTTTCAACGTTCACGCGTTTCGGCTAACGGCCTTATACAGCGCGTAATTTGTCATGATGGCCGATGACGTTGTATTCCGCCTCCGGTAAGGGACGACTTGAAGCAATGATGAAGGATAGTCTTGCCCTCGATCGCTTCAGGAGTGAGTACCTCAATCAACTGCCATAGGCAGTCTTATCTATTGGAAGCACTTGTCTTTTCAGGATAAAATTGGTTTGATTTGTTGAATATGCTATATCATTGCTTTGCAATACATATTGTTCGCGTCCATTTTCTTAGATATTTTATCGATCGAGCTACGAACAGACACTTGTATCAATGAGAAAAAAAACCCAGTCTTCAGTATACATGTCCGGACGTGAAATTGTCAATTTGGCAAAGACTTGGCGAAGCACGTTCGTGCTACACTGTAACCAAGCTAGTGGTCGTACTGAAGCCGATGCTTCGCACATACAGTTCTGCCTAATATTTTTGTTTGGTAGTCCTAATAGCATCTTACGTATCGGTTACTGAAAATGTATGGCCGAATATGTCTATTGTACAATCAATAAACCCCGAATTCTAAAGTGGCAACCCAAATAATAATAAAGATCATAAGGTGACGAAACGCGAATTCGAGAATCCGTTTGGCAAGAGAAGGCATATCTTTAACAAATAAGTGGTCACATATAAAAAGCTGTTCTTGGCTAAGGCACGACAAACTTCTGTGGCACAATACCTCTAAATAAACAAGTGACAATTTTAAAAAAAACGTTTTTGTAGTTAAATTTAATTATTATATCATTGTAACAATACACACAAGCTATATAATGTACAGCATTTGTTTAATATTAGTATTTGTATCTCGAGATATTACCATTGTTAATTTTAAGTGAGGGACACGGGTGTTAGATATACCGTTTGTTACCAAAAAAAACTTGTATATTATTGTAGTTAAACTTTGTTATGCAAACATTTGCTAAACTTGTATATTACCTCTGAGGGACAGCCCCTCATTCTTGGAAATTTTTAATGGGTAAAAATGCTACTTTAACACATAGGTTATGTTTTGTCGTAAACTTGCAACTCCACCTCTTGAGCCTTTACTTAACTTAATGGTCAAGAAGATACACTAACTCAAGTGTTGATGGTTTTTCAAGCAAAAGAACCTTAAAGTGACATATTTCAAGTAGTGTAGACCATTCGGCGTTGGTTTTGTTTTAAAGCTGAGATTTGACAGCAGTAAATATGCTAAAATTGTTAGAATATCTTTGACCTAGAAACCTATGATATAGCTTATTTTCTGGATAAAGTTATTGGAATTTTTATTTATAGAATTTTTATTATATATTTTTTATTTATATGAAAGCACAAATATTACTCGTGCTAATAAAAACAAAAGGTAATTTTTACGCCCGAGATACGTTATCCAAAGAGACGGTTCAAAGATGTCTCCATTATTTTCATTTTCGATATTTTGACGTAAGAATGCTGATTAACTACGAAAAAAAAGCTCATGAAATTATTGCAAAGATTGAACAAAGCGTAAGTAACCATGGCATCGCCAAGGTATTAAACATAGTCACCAAATAGTTTCAAGCTGTTTGAAAAAAACCAGCTCGATATTTGAGTGCCATAGAGATAGACGGAAAAGAAACCGTCACGAAATCGAGCGATCTCTAAAGCGGTCAATCACAAATAATGAAAAGTAAATCACATACGAAAATAGTGTGCAATAAGAAAATTTTAAAAAAATGTTCTCCACAATTTATGGCAAAGCTCAGGCTGGCGTCCAAGGTGTTGCTACGCGTTTAGTAAGTATTGAAAAGCAAGTGTGCGTCTGAGGTGCTGGCTGGCACAATGATAGATTCGGATTTATACTCTTAACTAAGAAGGTTACGACAAGCCATTGCAAAAAAATTGTCCAGAACTAGTGAGTACGAGAAATGTCGTCTTTTACGGTGGCAATGCCAGACCATGTAGGTACTTCCCAACCTGACAGAAATTGATAGAACTTACATGGAACATTCTAAAGCGTCCGCTATACATTCCAAATTTTACACCGTCAAACCATCCTTTAATGGTGCTTCAGTGTTTCGCTCCAAATCACTGAAGTTCTACCGTCATGAAATTTATGGTATTAACGGAAAATGGTAACATGTCGTCGATTAAAACGGCATATATTTAGTAAAATTGTTTTGAAATACAAAAAAAAAGATATTTTCCGTAACTTCGGCATAGAAACCGTCGGTATTTTTCCGTACACATGCTTTTATATAGAACTGAATGAACCATAATGAAGGATCGTAACTCGCTTCTTGTACAATGTAAGGTGTTGTATTTCTATATTGCGTATGTTGCAAAGGTACTTTTGCTACACGTAAAGCAATTTCACGTTCGACGCACCGAATCTTTGTATTGCAATTATATTGCTCAAGTTGGGCCTTAGTTAGGCGTAAGCACGTTTTTTCAGTGCATAATACAACTTTATCGGTTAGGTAACCATTTACGTATGCACAACATGCACAAACAGTCACGTCTTTCGTAGATTTGGGTACGGCCGCTGAACAATTGGATTACGACACAAAACAAACTGTATCACTCGTATTGGTTCATAAATTAGTTGTTGAATAAGGTCGCGGGTGCCTTGGGCATCGTTTTTTTTAAGTATCTGCGTATCGATTGCCGATTACGTATCGGGAAATTACAACGAAACGAATTTACGCTTTGTTGTAGTTTGAAAGTCACAAAGCGGTTTAATCATAGCGAAGACCTTATAAAGATAAGCCTTATTGATTCCTTAAACTATTAGGTTACTTCGCTATACTCTTGTTGTCGCAGCAGTGTGCAGAAATGAGCTGGTCTTAAGTACCATTCTTCTTCAAGGGTTTGGAAAACACATGATAGGAGATAGAGATATTTAAATTAAAGATCATAAGGGTTGCAGTAATAGCGTGGTATTATGCTCCCCAACCAGATTATCTTCTTAATGTTCCTCTAACGTTGTCTCTAGATCATAACGTACCAGCGTGACAGATTATCCCACGGAGTTGATTCTAATCGGAGCGAAGCGTGAAACATGAGGGCTTTTAGTTTTACGAACGATCACGTCAGTGCGATTTTTTACTGCTTACCTATTAGTGGTCCACGTTATAGACGCTTCTTTTTCTCGGTAATGAAGAATAGTCGTGGTTCTTACCGGCACTGAAATAATAGAGCAGCCTAGAAAAATACAGATAGCGTAAAACATTTCGTAAAAACACTAATTCTTTTTGGTAAGGTATCGAGCATATTCATGACTATTAAGTTGTTGGCGCTCCATAGTCTGCCGAGAGTCATTATTCGGTGATCAAGTAATGACTTCTTATTGGTCCGAGTGGTGGTTGTTAGCAAAACCGTTAAGCTAAACGAAAACTACTGAGGATACCCAATAAATACCAAACGATGTAAATATAAACTACCGATATAATACAAAAAATAACGAAATATATTAGGCTATCATAACAATATTCGTTGGGTGTTGAAATGAACTACGCGTTGCTAGGAAATAAATTTCACTGTTCAACACTGGTTTTATAGAAAATTATCAACGAAGATCGGCTAAGGTCACTCCAGATAAAATGAGTTTAGACGAGGCAACATCTTTTATCCTCAAAAATCGACGGTCAGTGGTGAAGTTTCTGTTCCTCGAAAGCCAGAGCGCTGCAGAAAGCCACCGAAGCTTAGTGAGGGCGTTAGACAAGGAGGCCTTACTCGGAACTGTAACACGTGCATGGTGCAAACATTTGAAGAACAGATTAGAGTATCGAAGACTAGCACGAAGGTGGTCAGATATTGGAGCTTGAAGGAAAAGAACAAGTTGCATCAATAGGAACGGTTTTTAATGAATACAGAGCTTTTGAGTCTTGCATGCGAAAACTGGCATTTAACATAAGTGTAGTGTATTCCGCGTGTAATCTGCCGAACATCAGCTAAAAAAAAACAAATCACAAAAAAATCCCCCCTGGGGAATTTGATCGCCAAAGTATGGTTTGATTTTCAGACATCTGGTACTGTAAAATGCTTGCCGAAAATGAAATAATGAATGCAGATTGCCAGCTGGAAGCTCTCGAGAAATATTGACCCGGCGGTCGATAGCACCGCAGCCTGGCTACCTGATAGCAATGCTACATCTCATCATCATGTGTTAATTATTTCCTGATTTGAGTGAAGGAGTACACAACGTCGGTTTCAAGCCGCTTAATTTTCGGATCTAAGTCCGTGTAATTACAGGGCTTTCATGGGTTAAAAATGGTAATCGGCGAGCAAACATATCCCACTATTGATTTATTTCAAGAAGCCACACGTAAAGACATTACAGATAGGAACGTGAATGGTAAGTGCATGGAATGTACAATGGAAGCTTCTAGGATGCTACAACAAATGTACAAAAAATAAAGAGTTCCTTGAACATAATAATAATAAAATCGTCATCTGGCCCAAGTACTTCAAAGTCCGCTGGATTGGCATGCATTTTTACTTGCATTCGCATGTATTGATATATTTATTACTTAAAATAAATGAGATTTAGTTCAGATGTACGGCTATATACATAAGCACAAAGCCTTGTGCTTTTGTATATGGTCGTATATAATATAGTAAAGACAATGTGCTTGCTCCTGCAAGTTGGCGACAAACCTAATTAGTCGATTTTATTTTAGTGGCAGCGTCGGCATAACTGTCGATACGTCCAAAGTTGCGGAGGGATTATGGTCAACGAAAATAGGCCTAATAAGCGATGCGCTGAGGAGTACGAGCCACTTGCGAAGGGATGAAAATGGCCATCGTGCCAAGCATGAGGCTGGCATGTGCACATTTAGAAATAGCAGTTTGAGCTTGTTTTGATTTCAAGATCGTTGTAGAAGAGATGTAATGAAGCTTTCCTTACAAACGCTTTCCTCTGTACTGAGCAGCCTTTATTAAGAGGAAGCTAATGAGACGTCCAGCGAGTCTGGAAGAGCTAGGTATGAAAGTGCTCTTGCGCAGCATTCAGCAGACGGCAAAGTCAGCACCTTTCCACTGCACCAAGGGAAATTTTTTATGCTTAAGTCAGTTCAGGTGTTATATACCAGAGGGATCTGGCACTCGTTGGTGGGAGCGTTCTTGGCAAACCGTGCTAGTTCCGCATTACCTGAGCACTATCTGATTCGACGGCGCGGGTGCGGCGTGAGTACCGGTTCAGTCCACCGGTTCGATCATTTCGATCCTCTACGACGATGCTAACCTGCTGAAGCCGTCCCTAGACAGCACTAATCGCCGCGAGGTAGAAAATAGGCGTTCTTATTTAGGCAAGGCGCTGTGACCCAGTGAGATCGCTACCACGTAGTACCGCGTACTTCCACGGACAGCCGAAGCTTTGGTATTTACTAACTGACATCAGGATCACTCAAATGCACAGAACTATTCGTCGCCTGATGGTCCAGTATTTGACAGAAGAGCTAGGATACGTTCGTACGTACGCGGCTCGAACTTGTGCCAGTACACAGCAAAAGCCGTGGATACGCCCGTTTCCGCTCCATGTCGTAGAAGGAGACGCCGCGATAGAACTCGTAGCGATCTGGACTACTTCTGCCAAATAGGGTCCGTACTGATCTTTCCCTACAGACAGGAGATTATTGGGACGAGCGAAGAGCCGGAATTACTATCAAGTACTATGTCGACAGTAGGACGTCTGTCAGTATGACGTGACGCCGTTTTTGTGGGCGTCTTGCCCTAGATAGTGCAGGACACCCAGGAAGTGTGCTAAGTTGGAGACAGTGGAATTTTGCGCGATATGCGCTCGAGATTGCGCGAGGTCTAAATAGCGCAATGTAACGTTAGACCCACTAGGCGCTAAAGGGTACTAGCCGTAGTATGAGGCCATTTTGCCGAGTAAGCATGGCCGAGTTCTAGTAACAAATGTTGTAATTAAAGTAGTATGAAGAAACACACATCTACAGCAATATGTTTATTTCTGGCAGCCAATGATAAAATTAAGCATACGAGATAATATATATTATATATGTAAATGGCACTGTTCATATATGATTTGGTTATGTCGTTGGCATTAATGCTTAAAGCATTCTGGAATAAAACTTTCCATTATAGACAGCTTATACTAAGGTAATTGCCATTGCTGTTAGTGAGCTAATCAACGGGCGCCCCATAGGTGAGTCGGCGGAACTTGGTGAGATCCTGGCGGAATCACCATTTTTATGGAGTTGAACAATATTGCATAAATTCTATCCGCTAAACGACTACGAATTATCGTTTCGTTTTAACAATCAACACTACCTTCCTACGTCAAACGCAGTTCTACTTATTAAAAAGTGTTACAGACAAATCTCTGGACAATTGGCTATTCTTTCAAACAGAATCTATGAAGCACGGCACCGAATAATTGATGAAGTGTTCCGGAGGTTTATGCGCCGTTGTTTTTCTTCGAGGTTTTTATCTATTTTCGGCGCACCAACTGACAGGCGAGTGCTATACGCTTGTTAACAGCTCACTCTTGTCATCGTTGACGTAACTTAGCCCTGTTGACATATTCTCTCGACACACGAACGAGGCACGCCGGTAAGTGTGTGAAAAATCAGCAAAGCCTGCTGATACAGTGCTACGGCTGTTTTGGATTCGTGTGGCGTACGCAGTTGGTGAAGACCTACCTTGGAGAGGTTGTACAAGGTTTTACGAGATTTGTATTTGGCAATTCGCCCTGCCTTATCTGTCTCTCCTTTTCCTTAAAGGTCCTTTTGATTGCGCATCCAAAACAAAAGTTATGTGCAGGCACGCATGTGCGGTGTCAACAAAACGAACATAGGATACACATCCATATCCGTGCCTATTCAAAATAGGAGTCACAAAATTAATAGAAGCAACAGGCACTAACCCGTACCGAAACAAACGTATATGTGCTCACAGACAGAAAAATGTCGTAACAACAAGCAAATTTTTCATACGCGTTAAGATTAGGAGCATATGGAGCAGTGGCGGTTAGATGAGCGCGCATACATATATTCGCTACAAGATTATTATATGCTGAATGTTATCAGATGCTATAGTTTATTTATATACCAACAGCATCGTGTGTGTAATGGATTCAAAGATAAATCATATTGCGGATATATATTCACTTGACGAACATGCAAACTGAAGATATTCAAGGGGGCAGAGAAATAGTGTTTCACCCATATCTCACGTAATCTCTGAGTGGCCATGAAGCACGCGCCGGACCACATTGAGCTCAAAAGCAAGAACAGTCGTATGTGGGCATTAATGATAAACATGATCATAAACACCATTGTTGGCTGTGCAAATCGAGTAAAGATCAATCAGGCAGACTTTGCGCGTAAATACGTCCATCTGGTCCTTGACGGGATGGCATAAAGAGGCACCGTTTAGGAAACTCCTGTGTTTTATAAAAAAGATTAAAACAAAGCCAGTGAGCTTCAAACGGTACTACGATCAATTGATTGTTTTCACCTGCTTTAATTTTCGTGCGCCGATGTGAAGTTTACCCTAAAAAGATTAGGATGGTTGTCAGAGATTTCTTTTATGTAGGATTAAATAGCTTTCTACGATCCGTATTAGACTGTATATTCTTAGATACTAATATTTGTATCGATCTCAACCTTCGTATTCTTACAGAGATCACGTTTCTACCTATCACGTATATATTGTGGCTTGCGGCAACACGATCCTGTATTTCTAATGTATCTAAAACGAAGAAATTGTCGGTTGCCGTTCTGAAGTCGGAGAAAAATCGGGAGGTTAAGGATATTCCGAAGTGCCATCGGAAAATAGTGAATAAGTTGTTAGAGTCCTCTTTGCTGAATAAAAACGTTGACTGATGGGAGGGATGATGCCTAGCTAAAGAAGTAGAGGCAAAAAAGTTAAATCCAGTAAGAAAACCGAGACTATTTGATGTGTTCGTCGGACAGGCCTCACAATAGACGACGCTCCGTGGCAGGTAAGTTAAACTTTGCCCTAATATCCGTCTAATTCGCCTTCACAGAAACAAATATGCTCCTATTTGTGCTACCCTCACTATATTGCTTACAAACTTACTTTTTTGATGATTTTAAGGCTGGTAGTATCTTCAGGGGCACTGCGGAATTCTCAGTATTCTAGAGAATTCATATACACCTTATAAGCCACTGTCCAGTGCCTTGCAGATTGCAAATTAATTGAAAAATGTACTTGAAAATGAGTGAATAACTTACATGAACTTTTTCTATTTCATGCAAATCTTGTATGTATATACTGCTTGGTGAGGCTTAGTGACAAAGTGGTTTCTATGTTAGTTAAGCAACTTCATTTCATATGAACTAACTCAAATATTAAACTGAAATTCCCTCTTGAAAGAAACAATTATGTTCAAATTCCAATTTAAAATAATTATAATAATAACTATATGTTTACATATGTATACTGAAGGTGGAGTATGCAAGAGCAGACTCATCAGCTGAAGATGGAAGTACTCCCGCAAGGCGGCGACTCGGCCGCGGGCGGTCAGAGGACGAGTCTTGGCCAAACGGGGCCTCCTGGAGGACCCGGAGGACCCACGGCGACATCCACCGCCACCCGTGTCAGTCAGCAAGCCGCCACGCCTCAACAACCGACTGTGCTGTTCACAGCGCCACAGCAGGTTAGCCGACAAACAACGCACATGTATGACATATATATATACGTGCATATACGTGCTACAAGATGTCTATAAAGAGAGAATTATCACATCGTATGTAATAGAGGTGATTGAAGTCATCGAAAAATAAGAAGAAAAAGTGAGCGGGAAATGGGAAAGGGTTGTAGAAATAGTGTATGTTCTATTTTAACGTCATTATTACCACTTTTTCTTTCAATTTCTATGATTTTTCTCATAATTAACTGTTCCGTTTTTTCGGCAATTATTATTCCTTTTTTCTTTGCTGTTTGTTTGTTTTTGGACTGCCTTCATTCAACCCGATGCTGTTGCTCGTACAATGATATCATTTTTCGGACCCCGATGATGCGTGAACTGCTACTCCGCAAACCGTTGTTTTTCGTCGACTGATATCTCTTCCGGTTTCACTCACTCTCGTGATAATGCGATATTGGTTATTAAATGATTTATCGTTTCCTCTACCTTCATTCCATATACATTGTACATTATTTTAATTAAAAAACGAATTAATCACGTTTTATCGATTCTTCGAAATCCTCTATATTTTCGCCGATGTGATTCCTATCGTGGCACCTTGTCCCCTTCTAATTTCCCAAAATCGCTTTACGTTTTTTCTGATATTTTACTTTTATCTTTTGCACTCTTCCCTTCCCTCTTTCCCTTGCTGCTACACGTTCCCATTTCTACCTCGTATCTGACCCTTTTCCGGTCTGCCCCCCTCTCTCTTTCTTCCTCGGATGTTTGCCTTCGCGACTCATTGTTCGACAATGCTTTAAACAACTCGTTTCACATGACGTGCGACAACGATAAACTTACGGCTGCTTTTATTCGCCACCGGTGGATATAATCGGCTATTGTAACTACATTCGCTGGCTTCCCATCAATCACTATGATCTAATACATAAACACCCAGATACTTCCACATTCGCCCCCACATCAACAATTGGGTTTAATTAGCGTTTCACATCATACTTCACAATCACCGGGTTCAACCAACCCTGCGGCGGCAAGATTTCGAAAAAACGGACTAGTCATACAGCATCAACAACCGCCACCGCCACCGCCACCGCTACAACAACAACAACAACAACAGCAACAACAACAACAACAACAACAGGTAACCTCTAAACAGCATCAGCAGTGACAATAAAAGTTTACACAAAGGAGGACAATGCTACACGGTAATAAACAACTTCACTTCTGTGAACGCAGAAATGAAGAAAAATAAAAACGACACAGTACATCCAACGCTAATATCTCCGAGCACGAATTCAGTTTAACAGGCCCAGGTAGTAAATGTACGGTATGATCAAAGCTTCAGCGTCTGTTTTTCTTCATCTTTTTCTCTGTTTCCACTGTTTTGAATTCCTGTTCATACAATAGCATGCGTGTGTATTTCTCCATGCCTTGAGCATCAGTTTTTGTTAATCACTGATGGCGCATCGCTCTCAGTATTCTGTTGTATTTTTGTTATACGTTAAGTACAACAATTGCAATAATAACCTAACCTAGTGCTATAGTGGATTACTAGACAGTTTACTGGGCTGAAACCTTTCCACACCACAAATGATGTGGAAAATGCCTTAATTGTCCTACTCATCCAGTGTGTAATTTTAATAACATGTTTGGCTTCTTTCGAGTAAGAAGGGGCTAGCACAATATATCCATTGTAGTCGTTGCTGAATTACACCAGGATGGAGATGATGGACGACGTTGTGTCGGACACAGGGTCAAACCTTTCATTTACGCACATATTTTCTTTTTCCTACAGATATTTCTCATTGTTGATCATATTGCCTACCTATTTAAAAATGTGCTTCGTGCTTTATCTGTAACGTGGATCACTGTTCTCGTATATATGTATAGACTTTACATTTGTTTACTATGCTTATTTCTAGATAATAACGTCGTTTACTCGTTTAGGAATATTAAAAAGTAAAGCCATTTTCACATGCCTACTGTTGTCGTTAAAACGTTGGCCTTAATGACCTGATAGACCTACTAACTCATCAACTCTAACCATTACTGTTCTTTGTATTACTGAAATTGACCGGATCTCGTAGAGTTCAAGCGGGACTGTGGTCTTAATTATCGTGGATGTACTAATGTTTCTGAGACGGACAAGAACGGGTCGTTGATTGTGATTCACCCTTTTAAATGCATATTTGGCCACGTGTCAGCTTCGCTGTGACGAAAGGGTTGGAGTTACGCGTTATTTTTTAACCTGCAATATTTTGAAATTGTTGCCTTATATGGGATGAGCCTAACTAAAATTGTTATTAAATCTATAACAGGTGGGATTGCTTTCCCTGTTTCCTGTATTCTACCTTTTATCTGTTGTTGGGCCCTTGTAAACTGAGTAAGCTAACACAATGTTCTTCCTTTTTGTGTTTGTTATTGTTCAATCGCATCACTTCACTTCATTGTCATTTCCTTTTCATTTTATGCTATACCAATGTTGTGGGCGATCCTGCGATCTAATTGACGTCAATATTCCCTGATCTCCCCCTGGGCTCCTGAATCCCCGTACGGTCCATGTGTCGACTGCCGCAATGATCCATTTTGCGACTACTGCTACATTAATGACTTCAATGTGGCTACTGCTGTTGCTGCTACCGTTATTGTTTGTACGCGCGTGCGCGTACCTGTGCGTGTTATGATTCGTCCCTACGACTGCTGTGTGCTAACCGCGTGACCAACCACCGCCCTTCGGGTTGTTATTATTGCTACTGCTTCTGCTGTAACACCGGGTGCACGCACGTGTCAACACGCACATACTTACATTTAACTACGGGGCGTGCCTGTATCAGGGCGGCACGCAGACGCTGGCTCTGCAGCAGGCCAACGGTAACGTGTCTATCTTGCACGTCCAACTCCCGCAGAGCCAGAGCGTAATCCAACCAGCGAGTCATGCGGGACAGGTGTCGCAGGCAGCCACGTCCGTCATTCAGGCTACATCAGCAACCGGCACAACTATTCAAAACGTAAGTTGAGTAGATATTGTTTTCTTAACTAGTAATGCGTTCATGCATTCTTTCACTCAAGTTTTCGTCTGTTCGACAAGATGAAAACGATGAAGTTGCTTTTGGGCCAACTTCATTATTCTTTCCGCTCACACTGGGAGAAGTCGAAGCAGAGAGACAGGTGGCGTCAGGTCACATATGTATAGTATACGTACTTAAGCATACGCATATGAGGTTCGCGCATTTGTGAATATTCTTTCACCCATAGAGCTCAATCTTAAATATATTATAGAATTTTTTTTTCTAGTAAAGCTTATCTGTATGAATTGACTTTCGACGTATATCATAAACTTTAATAACTGCTAAAGTTTTGCAGCGACAACGCGTAAGTCATCGAGGTATATACCTGTACGGCATTTTAACTTGGTGTAGACAGAGGGACAATTTTTCACCTAGTAAAAAAAAAACGTAGCACTTCATTCGGAAGTATAGCTATGTTTTATTATAGAATTTGGCGTCATTCTTTATGATTTTGTTACTCCTCATAGATAAATTTATTTCCCGCCAGAACCGGTGTAGTGCAGAAGCACTCGTTTCTGGGACTCTTCTCACCGTCAAACCTATTGTTATAAATTTTTGTTATTGGAAAGAAATATATCCGTCGGTGCTAAGTCTAGATAATATAGTGGGCAGAAAAAAAAATTGCGATTTAAGCTTTTACAGGATCTGCTATGTATAGCCTGACATGACGGCACTAGTGGTCTATTTTGTTAGATAGCTTCGTTAACTGCATGCAACTCGGCCTGTTGGTTTTCTTAGGATGGAGATCTGTCATTGTAGCTGCGTGTTGCGTGTGCTAATGTTCTTTGTGTTCTTGATTGAATTTTTGGGGTATCCAAACTACTTATTTTTTCTTTAACATGACTGCCGTTGATCACATGACCGCAGTTACTTTTGCTTTCATAGAACTTACATTGAAACGGATTGACTTCGCTTTTAGGATGACAGAAATGCGTGCTTCACAGCCGCTCGCTTCCCACCTGTAGCGCCATAACTATGTATTTAATTATATATTGAAATAATAATATCTGATCTATTGCAAGTAAATAAGCTTGTCCTAGGGGATATCGTCGTCCCTTCTATTCTATTTTATAGCCTTCAGTGGGTTTAATTTTACATCGTGCTGTTCGGATTTCCTCCCGTACGTGTCGGATGATACTCCGTTGTTTCCTCAAAAGTCTGACAGACTTTTGGCGTCTAACGCCATCAAGGCCGCCTCGCAGCATGGGTGCGCCACAACAGATTTTTCGTCGTAATGAAACGCAACTTGTATTCGCAGCTGCGCGTTCTGCCTGACAGGGTCGATTCTCACTGTGCCCTGCAACGGATTTGCAAATCCGTTGTCGATGGAGTATAAAGAAGCATACATTACTAGTCTTCACTAGTAAGCCGGCACATATCGCACCCGCGTACGTATTCACGTGCTGGTCTATATTAACCGGCGTGCGGTTTTGTTTATATCTGGGCGCCTATGGTAACAGACTGAGAATCCCAAGGCCTTGGTTGTAGTTTCCATCTCCCTGTATCCGCCGAGCGTACTATTCCTTCGTTCAGGATGAACTTACAGATCGTGTATCTTTTCCGCAACACCCGTATAGCCTCCGCCCACCCGAGGACTGGCCAATGAGTGCGTCCTAAGTAGAACGTCAGAGGTGGCAAGCGTATAGGAGTTTTACAATCCCTAGGGATCGCTACTATGGTTTGCCTTGCCTCGATCACCTAAACTTGCGTATACTGTGTTTTAGTATGCCGTCTTTTGAAATAACGATAAGTATTTTCCTTGATGCGCCTTTGGGAGTGGGTGATGATTTTTCCGACGGGTAGCTTTGGACCGCTCGAACAAACTCGACGTGGAAATTGACTCTATGAATTGACCACTGTGATCAAGTATTCGACTTCACGTCCCTACAAGCCTTGGCTAAGAACTCGCTAAGCTCGACCTTGACTCCCAGTTCATCCAGCTGCTCATTTAACTCATACAACTTGATAGTTAGGTCTTCACAGTCACTAGCTTTGCGGATACCTAGCCGTAACCCGTCTATGTATTCATATATTTATGCTATAATAGTTGGTACATGCGAGCAGCGATATGCATGCGTATCTGCGTTTAGCAATGGTGTTTTTATCGACTTAAAGTGGGATCCCTCTTTCCATTTCTAAGATCTTTTTCGCCGCATGCGCTCTATTTAAGACAATGTGTGCGGTTAAGTAGATCCCGCATAGGCGATTAAGGTCCTATTGCAAATAGCATGTACGTATGCAGACTATTTTTCGCATGGAAGAAAAAAAGGTTATCGTGTTTTAGGACCAGTCGTCTCCTGGATGAGAAGAGGTTGTTCTATGTAAACTTCCGTACAAACAAATATGCTGGGAGAATAGGTACTTAAGAGAATTTGATGGGATCTGAGGTGGCTGCTTCACTAGAAGACTTTTCAACAGCAATCTGGGCCGTAAACATGACCCAGGTCGGCAAAGTGAATCGAAACATTAACGAAAACGAGCCAAAGAAAAAAAAAAGCAAATAATGACGCAGCATGACCATGAAATCTCACTTTATGTAGTTTCGGTTATCGGGGAAGCTCTAGCCGACGATACATAAGAATTTTTTTACGGTCGACCTAAAATGTCAGGGCAAACGATCGAAAACAAGAAGTAAACGTTTGAAAATGCGTCTTTGAATAGATGGCCTAAATGAAGACCTATGTTCGTTTGTCGAAAAAATCGATTTTATCATAATTTTCCAAGGACGAAGGCCATGAATACGACCCCGTTTTTTGAACACACTTATCAATAATTTTTATCTACTTGACTCTCTGTAAATTATTCAAATTATCGGTCTCTAGCGATCGCCATTTTATTTATATTCCTCATTCTGTAGCAAGTAAGCACTAATTGGTTTGACTTTTTGAAACGTTGTAGCAGTCACCTGGGCAGCGGTGAAACGGCTGTCCGGTTATTCAACCTCTTGTAGAGCTAATCACTACTTTATTGACTGGTCCACCAATGTTGATTGTTGGCCTATGGCACATCTAGGTAACCCAACACGTTAGAATCGTGTATTTGCTAATGTAGCTAAAGTGCTTCATTTCAGTATATGTTATTCATTCATGGCCAGTTATTATAATGTGAATTGTGTAGTCAGTCCTGGTACCCCACTGCGATACTAATAATATGGACCATTTTTAAACAACAGAAATTTCTACTGTATCCTCTTGTTTTTTTAGATAAGCTGCGGCTGTCACTCGTACGCACGCAAGTACGTGTAATTATCCACCTTCGTGCGAATATGGAATCAGTTTTTTTTTTTTTTTTTTTTTAGCAGTTGTTGTGTAACGTTAGTGTAAGCTTCCCATTTTTAAAATGTCTCATTTTGACAAGAAACCTGATCAGGCCGTCTGTTGTCCGTTAGCATGGTGCGATTAGAGGTAACAGACATATAAAAAAGTAGCTGAATCGAAGTGTTTTAATTTCCATAGACTTTTTGTTGCTAGGAGGCATCGTATGCAAAGGAATAGATTCCCCTATGTAATCGCTAATGCCAGCAGAAATGAATTTATCGCGTCACGCACGCGAAGCAAATGTATTCTGGAATATGCGTTGTGTAGACTTAAATCAATACCTACAATTTGTCTCTAGTTATTTGGTAACGGTGCCCTAGGTAACTGAACCGCTCTTGCAATCAGAATCGTACGCTGCCCCATTTTGGTCCTCCAGCCTTCTTAAATGAAGCAACGAGAACGCAGCAAGTGTCAAGCTTTAGATAAATTGTCGAAAGCCATAGGGATCCATATCTGTAGAGGGCGCGACCTGTCTTGGTTCGCAACGCGGTCAAATACCTCATCCATTCCGTCACTTAGATGAAAATCGGGAGGTCCATATTTGTATAGTCTTATTGACGTATAAAGTCCGATCTGCCTGCTCGAAATAGTCAGTGAACTAAAAACTATCTCTTTTCCAACCTACACCGCGTCCTCTCGTTTCGTCATCAGACGTTTTCACACACACACACACACACAAACATACACTCACGCACGCACGCACGCACGCACGCACACACACACACACACACACGCACACCCAACCGCTATACGAGCGTTGTTTGATGTGTACGCGTTTTTTCATATATTGGCCTTTGTTCATTTGGCAAGCGCGTGCTCCTCTCCGCGTTCAGCGGCTTTACACGGATGTGCGCGACTGCTTGGCGTTGCGGCGGCAACAGGAAGCAGCAGCAGACGTCAGAAGCCACAGAATTAACAAGAAATGATTCATATTTCTACAACTACCTAGTCAGATGTACACACACTCACCCGTAATCATAATAGCCTACACAACTGCTCTGCGGTGGACGTGAGGCCATTTGATCGAGGAAAATCGTTACGTGTGGCCTACTGTTATAGTGGCAGCATGTAACGACTACGCGGTGCTGATTATGATGGGTATGTTTGTTGCTACTGGTTTTACCACAATCAAATCATAACAACATTCGAAAGTAAATACAGCCAGTCTATATATATATGTTTGCTGCCGTCTTCAAAATCGTGTCGCCGCGAGCACAGTTTAACTGAGCGTCGTAATCGAAATTTTTTTGTTGGCTCTATCGCAATAATTTTAATAGATAGGAAGACGAAGAGCGAGGAAAAGTAACTCAAGGTAAAGGAAGTTCTGATTGTCTCAATGCCCTGTTTCTTTTCTGACGAATAGTCTTTGTTTAGATTAGTGAAACCGTGCTTGCCTTCAGTTAGAATGCTTCCCTCTGTCATAGATATCAAACGTAGAAGAACGTTTGCTTGGACTGCAATGTTGTCTCATGTCTACTCGGTGCTAGAGCATCATGTGTATACCGAATAACGTGCGTGTTTGGCAACGGTTCGTAGTGAGGTGTCCAAAATAAATGGCTTTCTCGGCGAGGCACCTTTAGTGTACTCGAGGTACGTGTCATAGGAGGAATTGTTTCTCTCTGAACGTAACACTAAAAATACTGTAGCATGAGCGATCGTTCTAGCCGAGATTGGCCACGCTTAAAAAACGGTTCGATGAACAAACTGAGGGCAAAAGACACAGGCCATTACCTTTAGTACAAACCGTATTCAATCTCGCTATGTGTGCTTGTATATAGCAAAGTGTGATGGCATATAAACAGACGAAATAATAATTTTTCAGAAGATTGTTAAAATCCCTTAGCCTTTATTAAAGCCCGTGAAGATTGGTTGCAAGCATTTAGGGTATTGCATTCTGAGTTAAAACGATTCAGCCCTTGGAACTTTTGAAATGAAAAATTATCATTGTAATCGGAACAACTTGCCAGGCGCTTTCCACATCTTGCCTTTGTGCTCTGAGTACTTTGCTATAAAGACGTTGTTATTAATACTGTTATACTATTGTGATAGAAACTGGAAAATCAATGGAAAGATCTGCATAAACATTAATTCTCAACCTTGTGAAAAAAATAGTCTATGTGTGTCGTTCTCAAAAAAACGAAAATGGACAAAGTGTAGCACAATGATACTCCCCGCTTTTAGTCGTCATCGAATCTCGGTATCATGTTAATATAGGTTTTTGTTACATTGTTGTGTTCAAAAAAACTCATTAAATTATGACTGTTGTTTCTGGACATAGCTGAAAAATCCGGTGATTTTGGTGAATAAGGGTTCAGTGATCCAGTCAGCTGCTGGCGGGCAGCAGTTAGCGGAAGATGTCCCAGTACAATTAGTCGGGGGAGTGAATGTCCTAGATGGCGGACCCGGGGGCACAGCTGGAGGGGGTCAACTTGCAGAAGACGAAGGTACGCGAAAACGACGTGAGGTCCTTGCCAGAAGGCCGTCATATCGGAAAATTTTCAACGAGCTTTCAATGCCTCAACACCACGATAGCGCGGGCTTGACTACCACAATACAGGTTAGCACAGCGGGAACCGAGCAAGAGATAGTCAACTAAAACATTAATGTCAGTAAAACCGCCCGACACCTGTGCCACTGTAATCTCTGAAGTAAATCAAGGTAGCGAGATTATAGTTTGTCAGTAAACGAAATCAACATCAAACAATATAGTTAGAGTAGAACAGATGACATTTTTATCTGAAGGAAGTGACTGCTTGTCTCAGTTAATATATACATTCTACACAAAAAATACAAAATAGTCAATATTGCAGTACGCAGCCTTTGACGTCTACGGCAGTAAACAGCCGCTGGGCTATGCTAGTTATAAATTTAGCATTCGAACAGGTATATCATGCATTGATGCGGCGCGCTCACACCTTTTCTAGTCCTATAATATCTAAGGCCTGGTGACTCTTTGTTTTAACGAAAAACAAATCGGCCACCCATTAAACGCTAGTAGAATGAATGCATTTCATAACACTACAGCAAGTTACAAGGTTCAGTAACTATATACAAAATGTTGATAAATAAAGCATATAATTTTTATTATGACCCTTATGTACAAATTCGATAAGCTAAAATGTATGAATAAAATATAGAAAAAACGATTCTAATTCCAACCATCAAACACTGTTTATAAATATTTGTATATATAAAACGATTTATTACGAGGAATGATTGTGATATTGCCATTATGATGTTAATGATACTACAGTGAGTAATTAGTATTGATTGTATAATGACGATGGGCATCATCCCATCGAAATCGTCATTTCATCATCCTTTGCTGTTTAGAGACAAAACAAATTTAGCATATCGTTTGTGATGTGTGATAATTCCGTAGAACTATGCCTTTTAGCTAGTTAATTCCAAGCTCACTGTACTCGTACAACATTGTACATCTGGACATATATTGCCTTAATGTCTGTGACCTCGTTCGCTTGCTTGTTGAAGCACCTGACATGAAGCCAGGGGATTAATCGCCGTATTTTGCCGTATTCAGCAGGTGGTAGCTGGGTCATCCTCATCAGATAAAGATGACACGGCATCGGACAGTGACTTCCAGGTGAAACCTGCAAGCATCCATTTGCAGACCGCGAGTGAATTCGCACCCGGAAGCGGGGGAGCCCAGTATGTGCAGTACTCCAACGATACCCAGCTCTTTGTTCCGGTAACAGTATCCGGTGTGGCTGTGTCTGACCTACAGACGTATCAGTTGCGGCCCGCTCAGGTGTGCCTCACTAACCTAAATATCTCACCCATGCTGTACTCTCAGTGATTGTTGTCATCTTGGTCGCAAGTTCATACACGCACACACACACAAACACAGATACACGCACGCAAATGTACAGGTACTTCGTAAAGAGGATGATTGGAAGTTTTTGGAATAGAGTCTATAGGAGTGTCTCTGTAGGCTACAAATGTGTGTAAATACGAACATTTTGCAATGCGATTATTGCTGTTGCTGCTAACTGGCTGCTAATCTATACGTACTACTTACCCTTACCTGAAACTGTGTGTTTGATTTAAGAATTCTAAAAAAAAACTAGAATTTTCCGGCCTGAACTGATTAAATTTCATCATTTAAGTTTCTCGCTTTTGTGTTTTTTTTTTTCAAAAACGATAATATAGGTGGCGACTGCGGCGCCCGTCGTTGTAGCCGCTGGGGGCGTTGGCGTCGGTTCAATGGGGCTACAAACGACTGCTGGTGGCACACAGCCTGTAACGATTGCGGAGGAGGCTGCTCGGAAACGAGAGCTACGCCTACTAAAAAATCGCGAGGCAGCGAAAGAATGCCGGCGCAAAAAGAAGGACTACATCAAGTGTCTCGAAAACCGAGTGGCCGTACTGGAGAACCAGAACGCCACCCTCATCGAGGAGCTCAAGGCGCTCAAGGATCTCTATTGTAAAAAGAGCGTTAATGATATGTAGTCTACACACGCACCCTTTACATGACCACACACACACACACACACACACACGCACATACACTCACATATACAAAAATCAACATGCGAATATATATATATATACAAACATTCAAGTATAAAAACACGTGTTATGCAGGCAGCCAACGTCCTGCTAATCTTGGAGCAAAGAACATGTTGACTATATAGCTCGAAAAGCATCACTTCACGATCGCCCATTGTTGTTAAGATATATATATTCGAGAGAAAAAATTATCTATTATGATGACGATTACAACGACGATGTTAAAATAAGTCAAACGATTTTGAGATCTATATAGATTTATGAGGGCCTGCTTGTCAGTATGGGAGAGTAGGGTTCAGAGTGGATAGGACCGTTAAAAAGTCACTTGGGTGAAGCTAACGTAGTGCTACTGAATTAACTGATAATATTCATCGGATTAGTAGTCTAAGCTATTAGTTAATAGCTCGTAGAAAACTTTATCAGAAGAGATCAGAAATCAAGCGAATCATGATAGGGGACTTAAATGTTGTTTTACACTTACGAGCAGTTCACAATTATCGGAGGCTTAGACCGTATCAGTCTCATCTTAAGTGTTTGATACTTGCTGAATAGAACAGTCGAAAGCAACGTGGGCATTAAACCGCGACCCAAGTGAGTATGAATGCAAATACGAAATTAAAGAATGGAAGCGGTACCGAAGGTATCGACGTTGGTGTAGGATAACAGAGTTTGAAAGTAGAAGTATATAAATATGACATGCTGGCTTATTATTATTTAATTGTAAGAATAAATTATCTAAGTAAGTGTAATGATTAATGGTTGATAAAGTCGGCGTCGCTGGTTATTTGTGCCCGACGCATGTTGTTAAGCGACGACGAAGAACGTTCTCTTTGTCGTATCGTGGATGTACAATAAAATAAAAATGATAAAGAAGATCATATGGCAATTCTCGAAGCGATAAAAATGATTAAGATTAGTACCGTAACATTACTATATATTATTATTATTATTAAACTTCTTTATTCTTTAGGAAACTCCTGAATGAATGACTAATAAAAGAAATAAAGAGAGATTTATTATTTTTGCATCCCGTCGGCTGTTGCTGAACGAGGAGAGTAATTTTATCAGCGTTGACTTCTGTATATAAATAAAAATGATGAGGAAAGATAAATGATTTGTTTTGGTGTTGTTAAAAGCGTATCTAAGGGCTATTTTGAATGAGTGCTTCCTCACTACTTCGTGCACCTGATATACTAAAAACACTTATTGAAATGGACCAAATATAGCGAAAAGCGAAGGGTTGTGAAGTGCTGGTTAACGCCAGCCAATGACGAAGCTAGGCTAGGGTGTTTGTTTTTAGTGGTGGTGACGACAGGCGTGCGCTGTTGGGCGGCATTATCCAAATTCACTGTCTGAGGAAAAACGACAGTCAGTGGGTTCGCCTTCAATGAAAGTAGACTATGCCCGAGAAAGTCGAAAGAATCATCAGGGAAAACGTTGGCATGTTGAACCACCCAGACATAAACAAGGGTACTTGTGTCAGGTAATTATGCTGTTAGACTGGAGCGCGTACGCTCTACGTAATGCGAGTGCGATTGTGTCAGTTGGCCGATTTTTTGACAACGGATCTACAATTCGCGGCCAAAAAACAGTGAGAATCGAATGTATTGTGCAATTACGACGACAGGTTCTTGTGCTGAGTCCTTCATCTCCAATGGCTTTGGACGTCGTGTTGTGCCATCGAAGTTGCTAAAGTGACGGCAACGAAGACTCACATGCACGAGGGAATCGTGAGAAGTTTTGGACAGCGCCGTTTCCATGACCGCGACATGAAGTTAAACCACTGGGCACGAAAGAGTGCCAGCCGTGAGACGCGGACATCTTGCAGGATAAGCGAAACCGGAAGCAATTATAATACTATATATATATATATATATATATATATGAATAGGTATGCGCCTATGGCTATATAGACGTAACGCGTGTATCTGCGATGCGCTAATTAACGGCAATGGTAAGTTAGTTCGTTTTACGATCTAGACACTATCACTATATGCAAATTATGGAGATTGAAAGGGTGATTTCATAGGTTAAGTCTATTCTAAGCAACATGCCTTTCGTGGTATAACTAAGACACGTATGGGGGCTTTTTCGACGTAGTCATGCAAATAGTTTATTTCACGTATCATGCTGCTACATACATACATACATATATGTATTAAACACATAATAATAAAATAAGCACATAGTACTAATAATAATAATTTGATCGCCGGCTAGGCCTCCTATGGTTGGGTTAGTTTTTCAGCTTTACATACATAATCTGTGTTAATAAATGTGTACATCAGTGATCAAAAAACGGGTTGCTAATAAATGGTGTGCCATAACTGATACAGCGAGCGATATTTGATATGCTTTGTATCCTGAGGATCCGCCGTAGTCGTACGCGTCGTAGCATCATTTACGTGGATATCGATTAATTGACGAGCTTTCAAGATCCAGATCGCAATTACATGATCTTTGTCATGTGGCGGTGAAGCATTGCTTCTGTCCAAAAAAAAGTTACACAAAGAAAGTAGAATACTTGCTTTGTGTACAGTGAAAGCTTCACGGCTACGACGTATTAGCTTGTATAACCTATATCCTCTCTTAAAGGCCGATTAAAATGAATATTGACAATTTCGAAATGTTAATTAGATGCGACCTTTGAGTTTAGCAAACCACTTGCATAACTTCGAATTCTCAGCAATACCTTCAGCTAAATGGTCAACTTTGTTGACAGTTGAAAGGAGAAATATTGGTTCGCTGCCTAATAGACCCATCTTTGAATGTAAGAGGTTTTTCGTTAACTCGAACCACACCAAACAATGACAAGAGACATATGTATATATAATTGCGTGTAAGTAGTCTACACTGGTGTGGGTATCGTGTGTATGACAAATCGGTTGCGTACTATGTCGAGGTGATCTATTGTTTTGTACAAATTTTTCGTTCCCTATGTCTTGTGGGGGGCGTCGACTGCCTTTCCCCATGGTGGGGTTTGTAACTTATTTTTTGTAATAACATAAGCGTGTCAACATCAGTGGTCCCCATCCGCGCGCCCACCGCAGGACCCCTCCGGGTTGAAAGATTAAAATGCTAACGGAGTTCTTGAATTTTCATTTGGTGATACCGTCCAAACTGGCTATTATTCAAGTCACTACAGTTAGCCATGGCGCAATACAAGGTTCTAAGGACTGTATATATAGGGTTATACAACTGTGAGAAGAACATAACCGCTTTCGGAGGACACATTCAATTAAATTTCCAATAAACGTCCCTTTAAGTAATACTACCAAGAACAAAAATGGGAGGACACATTTAATTTTCTAATAGCTGTCCGTCTAAGTAATACTATCAAGAATAAAAATGGAGCAGAAATGCTAGAACATAATTGCTCCGTGCTATAATCCTAAATGGCGGCAGAATTTTATGTAGGTTTCAAGTCCTTTAACGAAACCCTTTATGGTGTCTTTGTAAATAAGCAAAATTTTCGAAATCCGTCACAAATAAGCGAAATGTAGTATCGTAGAAGAAATAACTTTAATCAGAAAACCTCCATTTTAAGTTCTCGTAGACTTTGTTGTATATAAAGAGACCACGGCACCAAAATTGGGACAAACTTTGGCGGGCTGTTCAGCGTAGCGTAGCGGGCATGTATTCATCCGCCATTCGAACTACAAGAAATATCAGTTAACAAATAACAGTGCGTCGTGTTTTCTGAAATTATGCGAAGATCAAGTATGGACCCCCCTCCGTGATTGGAGACTTTTCACCCGAAATCGACGATATTACGGTCAGCATTCATACGACTTTTAAAGGATCCGAGGAAACCATAAGATCCTCAGAGTAGGGTCTAGACGGCTTGAAAATTCATCAAGATTGCTCAAAAACTCATTTTTAATGCACCTACGTTTTTGATACAGTAATTAACGGCCGTTTTATAAGGCAAAACGGATCGAATGAACCCTCCGAATATGCTCAAATAGTCCCAAGTCTCTCTAGTTATGCTTTTAAGAGTGAATTTACACAGTATAAACTATAATGCTGTTATCATTGATATAGCTGTCGCTGTTTATCTACTCGGTGGACAAAATATATATTATCTCAGATATACAAAACTGTTTGAAAAATCCGCAGGGTTTACGGAGGTTGTGCCTAGAAGATCTGTTATCTTTTTTCACCTTCTTTCCGTTTTCGTGCTAGTAACCTAAAATTCACTTTTCATGTTTTTGAATATTCTGCGTAGCATATTTGAGCTGAATTCGTTAAAATTCTGTTTACACCTCTTTACTTTACTGTTCAATCGCGGTAAATGATGACTGTATTAAATAAACATAACCGTCAGAAACACCACTTGTAACACATGCAAAAAATGTTTTTATTTACATAGCTCTAGAAACAGAAGAAGTCCTAATTTAAATGCCGTACCCTGTATATACCTACCGGTTTATAATGATAACAGGGCCGATGATCCACGTCACCTCTCTTAAAATTCTCGCTTACAAATCACAGTGTCATAATAGTCAGTGTCACTCTCCCTTTCCCTCTCTCCCTGAACGAATCGTTTTTAACGGAACATCCGATACGCAGCTGTATCATTAGTGGCTTTAGTTGGCTGGGTTGGAGAATAGTTACTTTATTAGTTCCACTAGAGCTTTAAGGGCACACCCAATAGCTTGGCAAGTTCCTATGATGACGAAGCGAGTATGGAGGAGGTGTATTAATGTGCGAAACACAACGTTTATAGGCACACCGTTGTCTCCTTCCATCAAGGGTGCCCTTTGATACACTAAAATAGCTAAGCCATAAATGAACTTAGGGCTAACCTACTTTTTTTTTGGGTAGATCTGCTTTAAAGCAGTTTGTATTTCTTCCAGCGAGGATGTTCTAAATTGTAGCAAAAGGAAGGTCATCGTTTTTGTTTGTGGTTCAAAATTTATCTGCAAGGTGTTGTCATCTGTATATCGATCGTCAATACTCTGTAAATAAAAAAAAAAAAAAAAAAAGAAAGGGTACATTTTAAGTACGCCCAATATAAATCTTGGTGAAACCAAGGGAAATATGGTAATGAATGTTTATTTGCCATTGTTGGACTACCTCGTTTTGCTGATGAGAATCATTGTGGAGATGGTTTTGCTAATTTATTACAGACTTTACAATTTATAAATTTAATAATAAAAAAAAGTATTATTACATAGCTCCTAATGGCTATGATGTGTTCTCCTCTAGGAAAAAATTATTTGAACGAAGGGACATAATTTGTGTGTACCAATTATTGTAAGACCTAAACACTTCCATTGTTTCTAGGGTTGACCGGAGACGAGCATCACAGGCAATACGTTATAGTAGAAAATTATAGACTAAATGTTTCGAGTTTGACGTTCGCTATTTAAGCCACTGGATACTCCGTCAGACGGCTAGCACGAAAGGAAGTGTCTGTTTATGCTGGAGTTCGAATCCAGTAAAAAAATTATAGATGATTTGTTTTGCGATGGATAATTGAGACTGCAAGCCACCGAATGGCGAGACCAAATCTGATATTATAGACTGAATGTAAACAAGAGAACTTCAACCGGGCTTATTCTACTTTTCTCATTGATACTGGGCCCAGCTCAGCGTCTAGCTTCCATTTCATCGAAACGTCTTAAGCAGAGAAATGATGTGAAAATCCTCGCGTGATTTTGAGAAGTATTTCTTGCCACGCATTTCGAAACGGTTTACGTCAATATCGGCTATTCGATTGAACTCCTGGTAGTTTTCCATGATGACCTATGAGAACAAAACAGAAAAAAAAATCGATAGCAATAACTGAAACATTTAGCTCACGAGTACATGAGCTCTACAAAGAAGGAAAGAACAATCTGACTGATTATAGCTCAAATGTATAAGCTCGTAACCTGAGAGTCGTCCTTGGAAGTGCACCGTCTTATTTCCACTCTAGCAATAAAATTAATAGTGGGATAAGCACTTAAGATCATGCTAGTGTTGTAGAGTAGGACAACTTGGTATCGTCTGTCGCGTTTTTCCTACCGGAAAGTTTGTTTAATCAATGCGACTGACCCATATATGTGCGTGTCGTTTCCGACCATCTTGTTCTTCTCAAGCATTTTCTGATATGTACAACCCTTCTAGGTAATCCTGTTGTCCAATTCACATGTTGTTTGTCGGCCGTCTTTTTTCAAAGGTGCCTTCAGGCAATCTTCATCGTCCTCAGATGACCGGCCGGGTGTATTGCATTTTCTAGCTTAAAGATGCCGTTAATAACCTGTGCAAACCTCTTTTGAGCAGTCCTTTAAGCTACGTTTAGTTTACATCGTAACTTTGTCTTCGGCGGAGCGGGTGCCCAAAATGCTCTTTTTCTTCGTCCGGAACATCAGTTTTCGAGGCTTAAACTCGACGTAAAGTTCCACTCATTGCATAATTAAGTTACTCTACAAAAAACCTGTACTTTTGTTATAATATAACGAAATATATTAGACAAAAAGCTGTTCATTTATTGCTTATTAGTTTCTATATATCCCCATGTTATAATTTTAAAGCATATGTAGCTTAGAAGGCCTCACCTGGGTGAATACATGTGACGCGTGGGTAAGGCATGCATGGTAGCCGGAATTTTCGGACGCAGCTTGTTCAATGATTTCGTCCGTAAGGAGCTTCATAATGACGACGTTCTCTTCATGACTCAAGTCGGCGTCACTCGCGATCTGTAGAAGTTAATGAACGATACAGAAATATACACAAAACGTGGAGATGGTATTTAACGTTCCAGCAGTACCCGTTAATATAGATGTAGGTAAATGAACATAGTCGAGATTGGGGACACCTAAAATATTTTAAGGGGATTTTGTGTGAGTCAGCAATATACCCAAAGCAAACTTGATATAATCAAGTGTTGAAAGTTACTCATTTCTAAGTTAGTCTATGTTAGATTAATTAATTAATAAAAACAATAGTTATAATAGTGAATATTATAATAGTAATCCTGTTTACTGGCTTAAGTATGTTTCCACTGTCCTAATGTGTGTTGCTAAAACACCCCATTTATATAAGGCAACGTCAGTTAACGGTACTCCATTTTAAACAGGAAGTCCTTGTAGTTACAATGGGCATGCGGTCCCGGCTGCATTGCAAATAGTTTTTGTTTCAATTACGAGTCCAATTACAGGAAAAAAAACGCGGGAACTGAGCTATGCGAATATTCCTAATACGTAACTACTCAGACAACAGCTTCAATAGTGGGAAACGAGGACGGTATCTCTGACAATGAACGCCAAATTTCTTTTCACGAAGTCTTTAATCTCTTCGTATAAGTAGAGATATTTTATAACATATGCCTCATCGTATATGCAGATTACCTACGTCATCACAAGCTTCGCCTTTACCTGAAATATATATGCAACTTTGGAGTCCTTAAAAGCCTCTCGGAGTTTTCGATCGACCTGATCATGGAGCTCCAGTACAGCCTCAAACTCCTCTGACAGATTTTCAATCTGAAGCGAAAACACGTTTCGCAGATAAAAAAGAAAAAACCCAAATCACAGATGTGCAATATCTACAATGTATTTTTTCTTTTTTTTTCTTTAATTTTTTTTTTGTAAAACATTGATTTTGCGAAGAGTGAGATTTACTTGGTGCTATTCAAATTCAAATATTCTCTTTAGATCTACGTACGGCTTAATGCAAGAAGAAGAATAAAAGTATTGATATACCACATTGCTATAGTGCCTTCAGCTGAACTTCCGTAGCGTCTGTGTGGCATTTATTTACTAAGATGAAATTGATTTTACATATTAGAGATGGCTGCATGCGAAGCGTAGACATTATCTTGTTAGGCTTTCTAGAAAGAGACTCGTGTCGCAGGTTATTTGTTCTTCTGTGTTAGACGGGGGGTTTGACTCACCTCAGCTTCCACAGAGAAATCAAATGCTGTCATGACTGCAAGCACCTTTTGTGTTTGATAGTCGAGTACGACTTTACCGAGACATTGCTGTACAATATCCGCCCATAGTTGTCGATTCAGAATCACGTGTTGTTCGCGAGTAGAGCCTCCAACGTCTATATTGAAGGTAAACAAAGTAATCCAATTTCATTCTACATGTAGCTTGGATATTATAAGTATTACGTATCATGCTGTTTATAGCCGCGTGCTAACATGCTTCGTTTCATGCCACGAGAGACCAGCCGCCTAAAGAAATGCTTAACGGAAGGTTACATGCATAGAGGCTTTCTATATCATCTTTTTTTTCTTGTTCCAGAATAGCAGAATTCCTCCCTTGCATGACTACAGGCGTCTGGCTGAGCATGCAAAGAGGCCTCGTCTCTATTTTTTTTATAGCATGATGTGGTTGTAAAGCGCGGTCGTTGCTGGGCAATGAGAACAGTTCCTAAACAGTTACTAGAAACTTTTTTCGCGAATAAGTTTAACGTCAGCTCATTCCGTGTAACATTAGCATTAAGTGGTCGCTTATTTTTCTTTTATAAAAAGACCTTCAAGTTACAATCGTGAAAATCCGGTAGTGACCAATGTACAGCGGTGACAGGTATAAGTGGTCTACTGACTTTTTTGGCCTTTATCTTGTTCCTCATATTTCAAGACGAAGTTTTCTGTGAGAGATAGACAACTGAGGAACTTTGGTGAGGTCTCAGTGAATTTCCGTTGAATGAGCTGTCACATGGTATTCTTATAAAAGAGGCATTGTCTCAATCTGGAGCGTCACGTACTAGTAGAACAGTTTTGTAGTAGTCAGTGTCGTTTGTGATGTGTTTGTCGAAAATCAAGTGTACGTTTTCAACTTTAAGTTGGCTTTGAAAGGCTTGTGAATTCTAAGACCTTGCATTTTTACTTCACCACGCATAATAAACATACATACCTTTCTATGCCAGCTTCGAGTAGTTAAAATATTGTCAACCCTTTGAGTGTACCCGCGCCGAGTACAACGTTTCTATCGAAACAAATCGCCTAACCGAACTTAGATCCGTCCTTATTTACAAAAGTAACGATAGAAAATACCTAATTAGTTTCTACATCTTGTAGAGTTGAGCAAGGTAATCAATCAAACAGTATTATCATGTTCTTCTACAAAACTTCCACAAGGTAAGTGACGCTTTTAAACAAATGTGTACGTGACTAGCAATGACAAACGCAAGTATCATGGGCAAAATGAAAAAACGAAGTACCGGCACATGCGTACGAGGCAAAATGGCGTCCTTGACAAACTGACTCTGCTGTACAATACCTGCAATAATGCATTTGTCAAGCCAGTTTTTTTTCGAGAAGGCATCTGCAATGATGTCGATACATTCCTCCATTTCGACGTTTTCATCGAGGATGCGCACGAGAAACTGACGATCTTCAGGGCCTACCGACCGGATCGGAAGGGTTTGCCGTATTATATCGCAAATACATAGCGTTCTAAAACAGGCCAGAACAGTGAATTAGAGGCTGGCTAATTAGACGAATTATAGTCTAAAATTAACCTGAGGATAATAATTTGCAGCGAACTCATGCAGGCTAATCTCCAATCTCGGGCATTTTTTTTACTTATTATTATTTACATAGTTTAAGATAATTGCAATTATGAGATAAGGACATTCGTAAGTGCATGTCGTACTCGTATTATCGCTACTTTATTTGTGGACGACTATGCTACTGTGCAAAAGTTGATTTGTGTAATGTGTCGTGGACTGTCTTTATGATACCACGCATTACCAGATAAATCAGGACAAATGTGCCTAAAACTTGACCGCATTGTACCAAGTGATGCTACTCTATAGGGCTAATGCTTACCCTTGGTCCCTTAGCTTGGTAAAGCCATACAAGATTTGAATTATTTTTCAGGTGTTTTCATGCAACTTTTAGGAAAACAAGGCACAAGTTGGCTGTTAAACCATAGACACAGAACAACTAATGCATGTAGGCATGTATATGCACCTTTCGATATAATATATGACCTGAATGTGTGCTGAATTGGAGAAATGGGATTTGGAAAGTTTTTTCTAACGTCCTGTCCTAGATATCTGGTGCTGCTGCACAAAACTAGGAAAACGTTGGTTAACGAGAAGCCAAACCACGACGAGGGGTGGGTAAGGCACTACCCCATTTTTGAGAGCAGAGCTCCGAACTCACCCTGGAACTTATCGTTTACGTGGGGTAGAGCTTGGCTAGAGATTCCACGCGCCTCTTTGAAATTTGCTTATAGGAATGGAAACTACTAATTTCGTATCAGATGTACTTAAATCTGTAACGGTCTGTTTTGCAAAAAGTACATTTGTTACAAAATGACTAGGACTCAGTAGATCGTTAAAGCAGTGCTTTATTCGGTGCGTAATTTTATATAGATATAAAAAGCTTTTTTTTTGCTTGAAATTTGTTTTTGGATTCCGAATTGTCCAGTCTATTTCAAATAGGACATAAGCACACATTAGCAACAAAAACAAGCAAAGCAATTAAGTATTTTGATTTTTTTTGATCACAAAAAGCGTACGTAATTTTTCATTCCTAGTGTTTTTGATACTACATAACTTTAGTCGGCGTCAACCTTTTAAGATAAACGGTAGATCCGCATCTAATATTCATATCGCTTGTTTTTTTATCTTTATCGTGTAGCAATTTTGCATACCACCGCCCTTATATTACTAGAAATATATTTTCAGTCTAGTTATGTAGCAACATTATCAATAAGCAGTTAGTAAAGCGAATGAACGTAGAAAACAGCTTCAGTAAGGCAGAGCATACCGCCCGCGCGTATATAAGTAAACGTTATTCTGTTGACGTAGTTCCTGTTGCCCCAGCTTACTGTCCAATCAATCTAGTTTACGCGGAGTGAAACTCGTTTTTGCAAAAATAATCAGCTAGGTCACTTTTTTGTTAAATGGCCCTTCATACACTATACGAGTAATGATGGTCACTTGCGAATGAAGGCGCACAACAAATCGCTGACCGAGTTCTGATGAACCTCTTATACATTCAATACAAAAATGCTCCTCAGACTGATAACATGCTCTTGGTTGGTATGATTAGAATAAATAGAATGTATATAATCGTTCCAGATAGTAACTTTGCCACATACGTCGTTAGCACATTAAAGATCTCGGCATTTGTTCATAAGCGGCATGCTGTAATATATAAGTTTATTTAGATTATATGTCAGTATTTTAGGCGTGTACACATAACGAACATCTACCAGGTGTTTGATCTGTTTAAGTAGAGCAGCTTGATAAGAATCACTAGCTGGCACTAAAACTTCCGTACAAAACCACCCAGGAATAGGGATAGGCTTACCGTTAAGAATAGCCCTCGTCCCCCTAGCCTCTTCCTTTACCCTTTCATCTTAAAATGTGTTCACAGTATGCGGCACACGATGTGACTACAAAAATCAAGAGCTCTACTACTGAATTTGAAACATAAACGCGCGCAAATGTCACTCTGCGTAGACGTATACGTATTTCCACATAATTTTGAAATCACAGAGAGTAGGGAACGGAGTAGCCGTTTAAACGCGCATAGAAATAGGTTGCGTCTGGACACCTGAAAAATTAAGCGAATTTTATAACTCGCGTATTTCGAAATTGTGCAAGGCACACTCTAACATCCGTCCTCATTTTTAGATAATTCAATTACCGGACTACAAACCACCTATCCTCAAAACTTTTTCTCTTCACCCGAGCTCGGACTCCAACGAACGATATCACTGCCCAGCCGTTTCGATAACAATTACCTTCAGCTTTGTATACAATTGTAAAATAATTATTCTTTAAGAGGCTATATATATA